GTGTTTGGGTGTGTCTGCTTTGCACATATCCTTGGTCCTCACCGCTCGAAGCTTGATCCCAAGGCAAAGAAGTGTCTTCCTTGGATATGCAGAGAATCAGAAAGGGTATTGCTGCTATGATCAAGTCTTTGGGAGCCGGTATGTTACCATGGATGTCACCTTTTTTGAATCCACATACTTCTTCTCAAAGAATCCTTCTCAGGGGGAGTGTTTTGGGGAGGTGAGTCAGCAGTCTATTCCTCTCCCAGTTCCAGTCCCTATGTCTACTCCTGTGCTTGACCACCACCCTATGTCACCTACCTTGCCACCTCCTTTGCGTTTTGCTTCTCAGCATTACTTACGACAGAGACTTCACAAGGAGGTTGATTCCACTACAATAGAACTCACATCACTTCCTATCGATTCCTTGGACTCCAGATTCAGCTGACATTGATTCAGGTATTCCTCTTGGTCCCGCTACTATTTCAGTTCCCATTGATCCTACTAACACTATTACAGATAACCTTGATCTCCCTATTGCTCTCAGAAAAGGGAATAGAAAGTGTACTGCTCATTGTATTTCACAGTACTTATCCTACAGTGGACTCTCTCCTTCCTACCATGCTTTTCTTTCCTCTCTTGATTCAGTGTCTATAACCAAAGGTGTAAGTGAGGCTCTCTCCAAACCTGAGTGGAAGACAGCTATGCAGGAAGAGATGGCAACTTTGATTAAGAATCAAACATGGGACATTGTGGATCTACTAGAAGGCAAGGAGACAGTTGGATGCAGATGGGTTTACACAGTAAAATATAAGGCAGATGGAGTATAGAAAGGTACAAGGCAAGACTTGTTGCAAAAAGGTACACACAGGCCTATGGCATTGATTACGTAGAGACCTTTGCACCAGTTGCAAAGATGATCTCTGTTCGGATACTTCTTTCTCTTGCTGCCTCATACTCTTGGCCCTTGTTTCAACTTGATGTGAAGAATGCTTTCCTAAATGGGGATCTGCAAGAAGAAGTGTATATGGATCTTCCTGCTGGCTTTTACAATGATATTGAGAAGGGAAAGGTATGCAGGCTTAAGAAGTCACTTTATGGCTTAAAACAATCTCCCAGAGCATGGTTTGACAGATTCAGAAAGGCCTTGATTGCTTTTGGCTACACTCAGACTCAATCTGATCACACCTTGTTTGTGAAGCGAAGAGGATCTTTGGTGTCAGTCCTAATTGTTTATGTTGATGATATTGTTGTCACCGGGAATGATCTGAGTGAGATTGATGGTCTAAAAAGGAACCTACATAAAGAATTTGAAATTAAGGATCTTGGAGAACTGAGATACTTCTTAGGCATTGAAGTTGCAAGATTAAAACATAGAATTTTTATCTCTCAAAGGAAGTATGTCTTGGATCTTCTTCAAGAGACAGGGAAGCTTGGAACAAAGGCAATCGGCACCCCTATTGAT